CACACACACACACACACAGAAGCACAAAGATATAAACAGTTGTATCTGTAAACATATATATATATGTATATATATATGCATATATGTATTGTCACGTGGTACCACCCAACGTGGAGGAATTGCGGCCCCGAGAAACAACGGATTGAACAAAAGAAAAAAAATCCAACACGCACACACACAGAGAGAGAGAGAGAGAAAGAGTGGATAACGCCATCTAATTGCAAACTTTAGAACAGCAATAAGCAACCGCTTGTGGACACTCACTCTCTCACATGCGCTCAACCTTTTTTTCGCCCACTTACTCATACACAATTGAGAAAAGTGTAACCCTTTGTCAAGCCTTCAGTTCGCTTACCTGTGCCGTTTCTTGTACATCATCACGAACACCAACACCGCCAGCGACACCACACATATGCCAAAAAGCGACAAGAAGCACCGGTCACCTGCCAGCTGCCGGTAGAACCACTTCACGTCACGTGCCGCACGGTCCAGCTCCCCCTGCAGGTTCGCGAGTTGCTCGTCAACTTGGTACATCTGTTCTGTCTGGCGCTGCAACGTTGTGAGTGTCTCTTGTCCACCTTCCTCCGCCACGTGCTGCAGTCGCTCCGCCCGCTCGAGTGATAGCAACGCGTCCTTCTGCATGTTCACCGCAGCCTGAAGGACCTGCTTGGAGTCCTGAAACCCTGTGCCGTCGGCCCCACCAGCGCCCATCAGCTCTGCCTCACGCCGCTCCGTGTACGTCATTGGACGCGCTACCGCACGCTGCGGGTAAATCTGTCGCTTTATCTCCGCGTCGAGGGCGCGGACCTTCTCGTCAGCGTCGTGGCATATCTTCTCGTACTGCGCGCGTGTAGCGGCGTCCTGTGTGCNCGTCGAGGGCGCGGACCTTCTCGTCAGCGTCGTGGCATATCTTCTCGTACTGCGCGCGTGTAGCGGCGTCCTGTGTGCGCCGCACCTCCACCCGGAGTGTGCTGATCTTGCTGCGGGCCTCACGCATCACGGGCCGTGCCACTATCTCCGCCGCCTTCTTCTCCGCGAGTGTGTTGGCGACTACGACAGTCTCCACCACCTTCACGAGCTGATCCAACGCCACACGGACGTCATCCGCATGGCCAGCGAGAATGCTCGTCATGCTAGCCTAACTCTACAGAACTCCTCTTCACCTTTCGTCTTACTTTCTCTCACGTGTGCATGTATTGTGTGCACTCGCTTTATGTCTAGTCCACCCTTCCTTTTTTTTTTTTT